ATATATATCTCCAATATACTCCTTGATATGTGACATTAATCTTTATAACGTTCTGACTATTAAGTTTCCATCCTCCTTTGATATTAAGTTGTTCTTATGTCTTACTGATAAAAACCTTCTAAGCTTGGTGCTCTGGTGGTACAATGGTTAAGGCATTTGATTGCTAACCAGAAGGCCAGTGGTTCAAACCTACAAGCTGATCTATGGGAGAAAATTAAGGCACTCTGCTTCTGTAAAGATTTACAGCCTTGGAAACAATATGGGGCAGGTGTACTCTGTTCTATGGATTTGCTACATGTTAGAATTGACTCGGTGGCTGTGGGTTTGGTTTTTGATTTGGGGTTGAGGTACCATATATTTTTTCTGCATGTCTATACCTAAAAAATTATGTCCTCCATCCTTACTACCAAAGAGAATTTTGCTACTATACGTTCTAAATGATTTATTTATTTAGCATGTTTTGTTTGATCCTAATTATGTAGTGGACGCCTTGCATGAATTTTATTCTGAACTGAGCTTGATAGGGGGTTTATGCTGATTCAAGAAGCCTGAAAATATTTTTGCACTTTTTTTTTTTGATTGAAAGCATGAAAGTTCACTTTCATTCTCTTTGAATATGAGGATTGTTCTTTTGGTTTCAGATTTTTATAAATCAAGTCCACATTTAAGAGAAAGGATTGTCTTTCTTACTGTAGTATGGATCTGCTTGGACTGGCAGTTCTAGGAAGGCAATATAGCAGTTAGTATGTAGAATATTCTTTGTGGCCGGACCGACTTCTTTTTTTCATCTCTCTCAAAAGTCTTTGGATGTAGATTACAGAGGTATCCCTTTGTGGCCTCTAACTGTTGTATATATCTTCCCTTAGCTTTGAAATGCCTTTGCTTTTCTGCTGCATTTTTTCTTAGCACTCTTTTAATGGATGTTGCCCATGGCTGGCAAATTTCTAATATAAGAGTCCAAGCAGCATGACTCAATAAAGCCTCACTCCACTTTATGTTTTATAGAGTCCCCCATTAGAATATCAGTATCAACAGAAGGAGCAAATACTTCTTCATGTAAGTATATTTAAATATTTTGTTTACTAGTTATTAACTCAAGTCATTGTCTGGTTCTGATGATCTTATCCACATTTATTCTCTACTTTTATTGAAGGACAGTGTATGGGGTTTGGAAGCAGATGGTGTTTGCTCTTTGAAAGAGAAATACCCTCCTGCTATGCTTGGCTTGAGGGCACCTCAATAGTCATACCTGACAAATATACATATGATTATTAAAACACATCACATATGTGTTAATTTTAGAAGAGTCTAGTGGCTTTGACTAACTGTTTATTGTCTGAGGCCTAGTTCTGGATGAGCAATAGAGAGTTGTTGTTGTTGTTATGTGCCGTTGAGTTGGCCCTGACTCATAGCAACCTCTTCTTGGGTTTCTGAGGCGGTATCACTACGGAAGTAGATTGCCCAGCCTTCCTTCCGAGGAGTGGCTGGTGGGTACAGGGGGGATATATATATATATATATATATATATATATATATATATATATGTTTTTTTTTCCTCATTTTCAGTTTATCTCTGGTGGTGTAGTACCTAAGGCGTTTCACTGCTAACCACTCCTTGGAAGGAAGATTGGGCAATCTGCTTCCATAGTGATACTGCCTCAGAAACCCAAGGAGGGGTTGCTGTGAGCCAGATCTGACCTGACAGCAATGAGTTTGGTTTTTGGTTTTAGTTTATCTTGGTGCTTTCAGTAATTGCCTAAGGCACAATATCCAGATGTTTGGGGCCTCTATTCCAAAGCTCCTCAGTTCTCATAGAAAGTCTTCTTGGTGAAGTAAGGAAGTTATTTTTAGATGCCCTTAATTTAAATTTGATAGCAAGTGACTAATTATGAAAATGTTTGAAAGCAGGTCCCTAGGCAAGATCCCGGATTAGTTTTTCTTCAGTTTAATGTGAAATGTGCTTTGTGCTTATGGATTTCTACAACTCTTAGATTGATTGGTGCTTTGAGCTATGTCAGGGGAACTTAGGAAATTAGTAAAGACTAGTAAAATAGTTTTTGATACTTATAAATTGAGAATAACATAATATTAAATTTTGATTTTCAACAGGGAAGTTTATCCATGCCTTGAAATTAAAACTTGTAACAGCCTTTCTCTCCATCATTTTAGCTCTTTTTTTGAACCTATTTCTCAGTTTTACAAGTTGTTTAATAAATAGTTGTTTCCAGTTATTCTATTCCAACCTGGAGAGTGTGTTTAAGGCATAATTTGTTTTTGCTGTTAGCATGGTAGGAAATTCTTGCAAAGAAGGCCTGTATTTTTGACAACTGATGTCATTTTGTCCATCTTTTTAACCAGATGTTTGATCCTAACTGTTTAATAGTTTGATCCTAAAGCCTTTCCCTCCAGATTGGTGGTACTAGAACTATAACTATATGATGTAAATATATCTTTTATTCCATGGAGTATTTAATGTCATGGCTGTGCTTTAGCTAGAGAGTGTGTCAGTTAACTGGATTGATGATTACAATCTAGTATGATCAAACATACTAGGAAATGAAATGTTAGGAAAGAATAAATTGGCTTCCTCTGTGTCCTAAAGGCCCTCATTACAGATTCTAAAATAATCCCTGTTGGGGAATTTTGGATATTTGTTATTTGATTCTACTTTTAAAAAGATTACTATAGTTACATTGATTTTTAGATAACTAGCATTAAAAACTCATGTTGAGCTTTGTTTTATTTTAAAGTGTTTATTACACCAAAGCAAATTCTAGGTTTTTCTTATGGCAATTTGTCTGAGAATGATTTCCTCCCTCCCTGATTCGTTGAATAAAGATATTGAAACCCTTGCAGTTGGAACCCTTCATACCATCATTAATGGGGCAATGGATGATGTCCTTAAGCACATCTGAGCAGTTTTGAATTGAAAGAAGTGTTCTTTTGGTTTTCCAGAGCTTTAGGGAACTGAAATGAATCTCTAGTTTACACTTCTATTCATTGCAATACTGTTGAGATAGAAGTGATTTTGAAATCTGACTCTGTTCTCTAACTTTGAGCAGAATTAGTTCCTAATATTTGGTAAATTCTCTAAGACTTAAGAAAGAAGGCTTTGTGAATGTAGCATTATGTTAAATTATTTCAGAGTACCACTTTCAAATATCACTCCTTGTTCATGATAGGTTCTCAGTGAATATTATTGGATTGATTAATGATTTTTTTTTTTAATATTGTGAAATTATGTTCTTTCATTTGAAAATATAAACCAGTAGTAGCAGGATACTAAGTCCAGTTTTGGTTAATACAGTGAAAGCAGTGTGAGGTACACAATTTATCTAAAGTCAGCATCATGTGGAACTCTGCTTTGCAGGAGAGCTGTGGGGTAGAAAAAACTCCATTTAGCAAAGACTGAAGGTGAAATTTGAAGAATCAGCAATAACAATAAGCTGGACTTAAAAAATTCAAAATATATGGAAAAGTTAAAGGCCTTGGAAAATTTGACTTGGATCAGAAGTAATCAGCCACCAATAATATTTCTTTTTGTGTTTGTTTGTTTTAACTTTTTATTGTGATTTTGTGAAAGTTTATAGAGCATATTGGTTTTGCATTCAGGAATTCATGCACATTTTGTCTTGTCACACTGATTGCACAATGTAACACCACTCTTCCCACTTCCTCCCTGTGTTTACTGTTTCCATTTGTCCTTCTTTCGTACACCTCTTGCCTTCTGAGCTTTATTTTGGGCAAATGCTGCCCATTTGATCTCTTATGGTTGATTGCTGTATAACATATACCTTTCTGGTGTTATTGTTCACCTTATAGGCCTGGTTATTGTCGGACCCATAACAATATTGTCAATCATGGTTGAGCCATGGGGGTGAGTTCAGTTCTAGGCCTGAAGGGTGTCTAAGGGCCATAGTCCTGGTCGTTCCACCTCTCTATCAGACCAGTAAATGGTCTTTTTTATGATTTTGGGTTTTGTTTCACATATTTCTTCCATTCTCTCCCTGGACCTCCTATTGTGGTCCTTTTCAGAGGGCTCAGCAGTGGTACTTAGGCACCATCTAGATCTCTGGTCTCAAAGTCATGGAAGTTGGGGTTCATGTGGTCCATTAGTCTTTGGACTAATTGTTTCCTTCTGTCTTTGATTTTCTTCACTCTTCTTTGCTCTAGATGGAGAAAGACCAATAGTTTCACCTTAAATGACCACTCACAATCTTTTAAGACCTCCGCAGTTGGTACTCACCAAAGTAAGATGTAGAACATTGTCTTTGTGGACTTTGTTATGCCAGTGGACCTTGGTGTCCACTAAGAGTATGGTCCTTAGCCCCTAGGCCCAGTGACTCATTCTCCTAAGATGTTAGATTATGACTAGAAGTTTTCATATCTTAGCCCCCACGTGCTCTACTATATTTTTGGGTATATTTATGGCACATGTAACTACATATGTAGAAATGTTCTCTTTTAAACCTATATATATATTCATGGGTATAGCCCTATTTGCCTTTCCACCACTGTTCAGCTTCATTATCTATATATGTATCTACTTGTAGATTATTATTATTACTGTTATTGCAGGTTTGGGTATGTAATATGTTTCTTTTGATTTATTTCAACCAGAAAGGAGACACTAGTAAACTTGCAAAGTGAACTGTGCTGTTACAATGTAATCCTGTCTATATGGGGTAAATTCTTGGAACCATTGACATTGGTGTTTTCTAAAATAAATTTTGAAAAGCCTTTCTGAAGTAGTAGGAATTCAGCAAAACTTCTATGTGCTATGATAGTTATAGTGGGCCATTTTAGATCAGTGTATGCCAGGAGAGGCAGCCTAGTCACTTTTCAGTTCTGTAGGTAGAAATTGAAACCCTTAGAAGGAAGCACTTTATTACGACTGGTCCTGTTTTAGGGAAAATTTCACTGCTGGGTAAATTTTTAGAGGGTTCGTTTGTTTTCATCTGTGCATCTGCTCCTGCTTGCAGCCAGTCTGGGATACGGAGTCTGTCTTCCCTGCCTATATTCTGTTTCTTCCGTGAATGCTTCCCTTACCACTCCAACCCCTCAACTCTCCTTTTCCCATCTGTAACTCATACTGGAACAGAAAAGTGAATAGAAGAAACTGAAATTTGGTTACTTGCCAGTCAGAAATACTGCTAATATTTTAATATATTTCTTCTAATTAGTATTTTCATTCTGGCTTTCTATTCATCACCCATCAATCTGCTATTTAATGCAACATAAGCATTTTCTACATGTCATAAAATACTTATCAAAAGCATTTTTTTAAAATTGCTTTCCTAATAAAAACTTGTTCTTGACTGTAAGTTTTAGAGATTTATGTTTCTTTTAAAAATACCTGTTTTTGTCCTTTTTCTATTGATATTTCTAAATATTGGTGAAATATCAAAGTTGCTAAACTTTACCTTTGTAAGCAAGTTTTACTACTCCTTTTTTTAATTTGGGAACTTGGACTCTGTAGTCACTATTTTTTTTGTGTTGTTGATTATATATTTTTTAAAATCTTATAATAGTCTGATAAAGATCAACATTATTTTCCTTTATTTTTTTGTAAGCAAAGCATCTGAGATTCAAAAAGTATAAGAAATTTGCTAAATGAGTGTCCCATTACACATAAGTGACAGGTTTTAGAAGAGCTTTATTCTTATAAAACAGTCAGTTGGACTATTTTGTTTACCCTGTACATAGAGTCAGCCAAAAAGTAGATGAACTGCTTAGAGTAAATCTTACTGACTTCTTTCTGAAGTGCCAACTGTCAATGCCTCTATTTTACAGACATTTCAATTGAATGCTACCAAAAACTACAATTGTCATACCAACCACTTTACTGAATTAAACATTATCCATTCCAATTTAATATATAACTTCATGAAGGAAGCAAAAATGAAAAGAATAATGAAGAGAATGAGAAAAAAGACAGATTTTGAGAGAATAGTCTAAGTACTCATAGGTTATATAGGAATAATAGCAAACATTTATTGAAGACTTACTGTGTGCCAGGCACCATGCCAGCTGTTTTACATGGATTATGACTTGTG